AGTATGACAGTTTGTATTATCTAGCTCAGATAATTTCTGATACTTTTCTTCCACCTGTTATATATTCTATTTCTGGAACTCCCATTGAATGGATGATGGACTTTACCCTTTTCAGTCTCATGTATAGCTATTCCCCTCCTTTGTGTCTGGTATATGTCCATGCCCCTAATCTCTCTGGAATTCTTCAGAGTAGGTAGACATCTTCCTGAGCTTTCTTCTCCTCCTCACATACTTCTGGTTTTGATTTCCTTCATTACAGTTCATGAATTACCACCACTCTATCAATTGTATAGCTTCTAAGAATATGTTAAAAATTTTATGCTTTGATGGTCCTCTTCTATTCTCTTCACATGGGTAATACCATTATTATTTTTAAAATGCCCTTTAAGGGCCTTTGGAGAGAGAGAGAAAGAAAATTGCTTAGGATCAATTCACCATCTTAAACCAGAATTGTCTGAATTTTTATTATGCAGTTGAATCTGTCTTTTCCATGTGACTTGTGGTTTTCATAACTGCTTAACTGGGTACATATTTTTTTCTAAATTTTGATCATGTTTTGGATTCATCCAGTTTATCTTTACTTAGAAAAGAGTTTATCTCTGCTGTCTCAAAGCAATAAACACTACCTGCAGCAGACCTTCATCTAGCAGGTCAAAACGTCCTTATTTCTGAAAATAACTAATTTGGTTTTTTAATAACATTAAGAAAGCAGAAAGTAAACAGCTGTTTGTGAGTATATTCTGTATTTTTTTATTTTCAACAGAATATTTAAGGAATTATTTTTAGAAGAATAAAACTTTATTTTTCTACTTTTAGAGACTCAAATGTGATGTAATTTTAATTTCTTTTTCCCCCTTCTCTTAAAGCAACCTGTTTTTTATTCATATCTTTGAATTAATTTGTAAACAAATTTTACTTTTTCAGGCACAGTCTACCCAAGTTCTTTTTTCCTCTCCCCCAAGATGTAGAGGTTCCTGCCATCTGAGAAAACTATGAAATGAGTCATTCTCAATGGCTGAATTTTCCAGACACCTGAAGATTTACCCTTCAAACTTAGGCAAAAATGTTAACCATTTTTCATGAATATTTTAGCAGACTTAACACGATTTAACCCTGTTGTGAAGGTACTGTAAAGAACATTATTGCCATTACATATGTTATTGTGCCAAATTGTAAGCTCTAATTAATATTCACCCTCTTGGTGTTCTAGCCAGTACACCAACCAGAGAAAAAGCTCAGTATATATAGCATTTGCTGAGTAAAGGTGCGAATGTATGAATGAAGAAATGCAGTGCATTGATGGTTTTAGGATCTATTGTGGCATATGGAGTTCTTTTTCCCTTACACCAAGTGGTCCCAGATGGCTATGCTTTTAAATTTTCAAGTCTGCCTTGCAGTGTTTCTTTCGTTGCCCTTTCTTTGGTTCTCAGATGTTGCTGCTACTGTTGTGTATGTATCTAGCTCTAGCAGTCCTTCTCTCTTCACTTGCCATTTGGGACCAAGATGATTCAGCTGATTATGGCAAATATACAAAAGCTCCGAGTGAATTTCTGACCAGCTTTGCCACATTTTAGGGTACTGTTTGTGAATGTGAATTCTATTTTAGTTTCTCAGACACTTTCTCCCACCCTTACTTGCATCTACTACTTCTATTTCAGATAGTGAGATTGCCAGATAGCTTATTTCTTCATAGAGGGAACAACATGCTACTTATTGGAATAGAATTTGAATAAATTTCCTGTCTTTCTAGATGGAAACACCTTTGATCTGAGCCCAGGGACTTTTTATACTTTCATAACACTTATGACTCCCCATAAGTCATGACAATTCAGAGGGTATAGTGTTTTCTTCATAGTGAAGCTAATATGTTCTTTATGGCAATCCCCAGAAAAGTGTGCCATGCAGTGCAAGCATGAATATAATCACCTACAGCTCTCACCCTGGAACCCTCCATTACTTTCATCAATATTTGATATCATTAATATCGGTAGCTTTGTTGTGTAACAAACAACCCTAAAGTTAGTGGATTAAAACAGCAACGATTTAATATTTCTCACGCATCTACAGGTCATCTGGGTGGCTCTTTTGATGTGAGCTGGGCTCACTCACGCATCTGCAGTTAGCTAAGGGTGGGCTAGGCAGTTGTGTTCATTTTGGGCTCTCTCTCATATGTCTGGGGTCTTGGCTGGGACTACTAGGCTGTCTCTGCTCTACCTCACATGTCTCTTCCTCAAGCAGGATAGAGAACAGAACATGCCAGATTTCTTGAGGCCTAGGCTCTGAAATACACATGTCACTTCTGCTGCATTCTGTTGGTCTGTTGACTCTGTTGGTCAAAGTTACAAGAATAGTCCTGATTCAAGGGGTGAACAAATACACTTCTCCTGATGATGAAAGGAACTACAAAGTCACATTACAGAGAACGTGGATACAGAGAGAAGGAAAATTTGGGACAATTTGTGATCAATTTAAACATTATTTACATCTTTAAAAAGCAAGGAAAAATAATCACTGTATTCATTTTAATATTCCCTATCTTGTTTTTTTCCCCTGTATTAATTTTGATATCATCTATTTGTTTCACTTTTTTTTCCCTGTTCCCATCTCCTCCACCCTTTGATATACAATATCTTAAAGAGGAAACAGATTTTTCAAAATACGTTTTTATATATACTAAATGCAAAGTGAAGTTTGCTGATTGTTTTCTACAAAGGAAAAAAAGTACAAAAACTCATATTCTTAAAGGTTGTTTTAGAACCTACTTTCTTTGTGAGTTGGACATGATCAAACTTGCTGTTGTCTTTGATCCCAGTAAAGCCACAGGCACATTTGCCACAGCTGAATGGAACACCTGGTAATGAACGCAGAAGGAAGTAGACAACGCAGATGTCTGAATATAATGTTTCAGCCATGAACGATACAGAGCCCGCAACTGGAAAACAGGATGATCAGGTAGCTCTGCTGACCTTCAATAGCTGGGTCTGGAATAACTACCATGTAAATAGTGCACCCTGGTGGTTTTCAGCACATTAGCTATTCCTAGGAGATGTTTAGGTAGCATGGTTTTGTTTGTTTGTTTGTTTTTTCTTATCAACCAACACAAGTATCTCTGAGATTTGCTCTGAAATCTCTTGGAAACAACAAAGGTGATTCATTTCAAATGCCCTGACTTGCCCCCATCTGATCTGAAAAAAATGTTATGTAGCTTTTTCCGCGAATATGGGTGGGTTAGTGATTTTATTTTTACCTAACCGAGAGTCGCATGACTGAAAAGAGGAAGTAATGTTTAGCAATCACAATCATGTTATCCAACATAATGGCAAACAGTGGTTACTTAATATTCTAATGTAATTTTAAGATTTATGAAGACCTTTTGATCTTATTTTTTTATATAAATCAAGTTTGCAGTCTTTGTGGCAGTCTTCTCTGAAGGATGAATATAACACAGGCTGTTTCCAAAAGTCAGACAGGCACAGCCTCCATATTGTTAGTTCTCAGAATAAGATCCAGAAAATAAACTCACAGTGGCCTGTGCTCATGTACAACCTTTCTTCTACAAATCAGTGTACTTTTTTCTACAAAATAGTGTATTTCAGGATTTAGTTTCTTCTTATAATTTACAGTATTCCAATTCCTCAAAAATTGCTAATCTAATAGCAATAATTATTAACTGGAATGTCAAATTCCTTAGACTACCTCATTCCCTGATCACTACAACAAGATTCTAAAGACTACAGTTTTAAAAGAACCTTGGGCCATCTGGTTGATTGTTTTTCCACATTTTAGAAATCTCTAGTGGTCAGATTTCCTAGCCTTTGTCAGCAATTTGGTTTTTGCCCAACAGCATTTATGATTGAGAAATTCTGTCCTCTTATAATTTAGCTTCTTCCTCATACAATTTTATTTCACACACAAACATACACACACATGATAAGGGCAATAATGAGCCATTCCCTTATAGACAGAAATAGTTTACAAATAAAATAAATATAAATAAAAAAGTAGATTTAATAAATATTATTGAGTCACCCTAGAGCCTTCTTTTCTCTGAGCAAAATAATTCTGTTTCTTGATAGGTTCTATTTTACTTAATTTAAAAGTGAAAAGTAGCACGAATCAGGTAAACCAGTGTTTCTAAACTAAGATACCAAGATACTTAGATGGCGTAAACTAGAGATTTATGTCACCACTTTACCCATTTATTCTTAGTGTATAATATGTATCTAGCACAACAGCTTTGAAGATATTCTTGATTACTTATACCTTGTCTAATCTGCTAGTGTAGTATAAAGAACACAAACTTTGTTACCAGAAAAATGTGGAGTTAATGTTAACATAATCACCCACTAGTTGTGGAACCTTTGCTTATTATTAATTTTTTCTCAGACTAAGTTTTCTCATCAACAAAATTTGGATTAAATGGCTACCTTACAGTGCTGCTGAGGGATTAACTGAAGTGTATATAAAATGTCTGGCATAGCGGGAGGTGTTTACTAAATATTAGCTATTTCTATTATTGCCATTTGTTTAGGTAATGTCCTTTCCTTCTATGGGAGCACCTGCTGACTCCCACAGGAACATATCACATCTACACCCCTACGCATATCCTAGATAGTGGGGATTGTAACTGGTTGATTCATTTAGAAAAATGGCCAAAATAGAACCATGAGAGTGTATGTCCCCAATCTGACCTGATGACACCCAATTGTGAAGTTAAAACATGAAAGACCAGTGGAAATGGAAAAAGAAGTCATACGGGGGCTTCTGTGTCTTTGAAATTCTGTCTACAACATGAAGTGCCACTCCCTTGTCCTTTATATCGGTATTGATCACCAGGACATTAGCACAGAACTTAGTCCTCAGTTTTCTCTTCCCAACCACAAACTTTGTAGTGTTTGGCATGTCATATACAGAAATACAGGGAATCTCAACCCTACCAGGCAGGGCAAATCTTTGTTAGCTGAATTTACCCTTTAATACCAACGTCAATAACACAGACACAGAGAGAACTCATTAATTTTAATAGTTGAGCACAGTTATAATAGGTGTTTTTTAGGAATTATCTCCCAGGTTCCCCCCAAAGCTTTTCATATGCAATGTTCACAAGCATTCAAATTTCATAAACACGATATTGCAAAAGCAGAACTAAGAAAAACCTTTATAGCCTTGAAATTTAAAAAAATGCTTCATCATTCTCTAAGTACCTATCCCTAAATGCTAAATATAAATGCTAAAAAAGCTGTGCTGGCAGCTGGCAGCTGTTGGCTAGTAATTTGCAGCTGGCAGTTGTGGGCTTGGGAAAAGAATAAAGAAGGAAATTCCCATAATAAACACTTTCATACTCATTTTTAAACTCATAACCAAAATAATACAGAGCAGAACTCTCTAGTTTGGCAACTATGTTGGTGACAATGGTAGAAAACCCTGGAGAAACATCCTCAGAGCAACAAATGGAGCTGGTTTTACTCACGCCACATAGGTTAGAAAGGACCAGCATTCTCAAATTCTTATAATTAAGGTTCCCCCTCCTGCTCACACTTTGGTGTAAAGAAACTATGAACACAAAACCTGAGTCACAGTAATAGCACAATACATAAATATTTGTTGAATGAATGAACTAATACCCGGGTGCAGTGTGAACAGGCTGGACCTGCGTTTCTCTGAGCAGATACCTTCCTGGTACATTTCAGGGAGGTGACATTCACACAGCAGCCTTATTTGTCAGAACCAACCCCTCTCTGCCCTGAGGATCCTGGGAGACTTAAAGAACAATAGTACTGTAAAGAATAACTGAGTTCTTATTTAGTTCATTCCAGACTACCAAATATTCTCACCACGCATCCAAATTTGTGAATAGAATTTAAAAGATTCAATACGATATGTAATCAAAATAAGATGAATATGTGTATGCCTCCTTCAATTACATTCACAACATGCAAAGCTTTAAGAAATCTGGGGTAGAAAGTGAGCAGTGTGAGACCCCCATCCTCCACCTTTCCCTTTTGTCTTTTTTGCTTTCTCTTACTCTCCTTCTGTTCTCTTTCCCCCTCTTCCTTCCCTTTCCTCCTAACCCAGGCTTTGGCCCTTCTCCGTGCTCTCTTCACTTTCTTCCTCATTACCAAACTGGATGATTTCTAAAAATCTGTGGTCAGAGGGGGTGGGGCAAATAAAGCCGTGTTTAGTTCCTAGAAATGAGAACAGTATAAGAAAACAAAAACAAAAACAAAAAGCAAACTGTTTCTGGCCATACTAACAGTGATTTAGAGACTCTCTCTTGAACTCATGGATATCCAGAACATTTTAGTAGATGTGAATTTAATACAGTAAAATGGGGATTTTATTTTCCAGAATGTTAATTTCATGATTATGATGGTGATAGTGATGACAGAATAAAAATAAATGATTAGCCACACACACCTAAAATCTATTTTGTATGTGTATCTAAGTAAAGCAAGGTGTAGATGCTATTTACAGCTGATGAGGATATCAGATACATATTTGTCACCATTTTTAAGTTCAAAATTCACAAGAGTTGGCTGGAGGAGACTGTTTCAGGCTGTAAGTGAGTCTGCATTGCTTTCATAGCACAGGGAGCAGGACTAGAAGGGATATCCAGGGTCATGGCCAGAGGTCAGTAATTCTCTGACTCTACCCGCTTCCCTCCATGCTTCAAATAAGAATGCGAGGGACCCTCTGGGCCATCCTGTTGGTGACTATCCTTAGCCTGTTCTCTACCCTCAGGAGAATCACGTTCCTTTGGTCTATAAGAGTCACAGAATTTATTTCCTTAGATAATTCTTTTTAAGGCTTTAATTCTACCATGGCATTATATGGTTCTTGATGCTTTTTAAAATTTTTGATAGACAAGTCATAATCGTGCACATTTATGGGTACAATATAATGTTTTGATGTATGTATATAATATGGCATAATCATGTCTTTTCATTCATTCATTCAACAAACTTTCCGTAAGTATCCACTTTCTGCCAAGCACCATGGTAAATGCTGCGTATTACACTAACTCCAATCAGTTTAATATTCTTTTGTAGGAAGAATCTCTGACCCAGTTAAGCTTCTATAATGATAAACTGGAGTACGCTCAGATGTAAATACTGTCACTAGTTAAGTGTTGAATCACTCTCAGCATATATTATCTTATAACTATTTCAAAAATTTCCTTTAATATAACAACAACAATAACAAAAATGATACAAAATGGAAAACGAATTGCTATTCCTTGGGTTTGCTTCTTCTTTTGAGGTGTATGAAAACCTATTTCAAGGCAGACTGGTATTGTAAAAAGACTACCAAACTTGGAGTCAGATCGCCTAGATATGATTGTAGCTTCATAATTTTAGGGAATTCACTCAACCTTTTTGAGTTCCCAATTTTTATCCTACAAATGAGTCCAGGAATCCTTGCCCTACCTTCCTCTGGTATTACTGAGAGTAAAAATTGAGATAATATTTGTAAAAGTGCTCTGAAAACCATAAAACATCATACTTATCACTATCAAACAATCTCTGATATTCCTTTCAGGGAAAACTATTACATTATAGTTTCTTTTTCTCCTTTTTTTTTTAGACAGGGAAACATTATCAACCATCATTATTTGGGCATTTGCCAGCATAAGCTAAACTTATTTTCTCATGGAAAAAACAAGTTAGAAGTTTTCCTTGTTGAAAATGAAATGTACTCCTCGAGGGCCAGACTCGGAGTTGGAGATACTCTGTTTACTGAGGGTTTCAGCCAGGGCTTCAGGTCCACAGAGGAAAACTCCTATTCTGGTACTTTTTTTGGGGGGAAAAAAAAAAAGGCAGTTTCAGTCTTTAGGATGAGATAGACTACAAAGCAGGTGGGGGATTTCCTATTGATTTCAGGCTCGAAGGCAAGAGTCCCTTTTACTCACTGGTCTTTTCCACAAATTAATTAATCAGATTAATCAGCAGGAGGGTGGCTCATCCCTTTTTGTGGGGATAGCTGAATAATTCAAAAAGCAATTGACTTTCCTGGAAAATGTAATCTAAGCAGGGTTTTTGGAAACTTCTACCACAGAGAAAATGGTGGTGAATTTGTTGAATCTGTGGGCTACTTCCCTACAGGGCTCTGTACCCCCAAACCCTCTCTGGCATCTTGAAATCAGGAATGAGCTCACTTTATGTACACCAACTCTGCTAACACTTTGGTGTGTCTTCATCTCTCTAAATTCTAATCTGAAGCCTTGCTCTTTAAGGTGTGTTTCAGACCAGTAGCCTTGGCATCAGCTTTTTAAGACTGCAGATTCCTGGGCCCCACCCTAGACCTACTAAATCAGTATCTGCATTACAAAAAGATCCCCAGGTGCTTTGTATGCTCATTAAAATACATGAAGTAATGGTCTAAAGGGTATGTTTATGGTATCTCTTGAGTTTCTCATGTGTTCTAGCAAGACAGGGGATCCCCTCAAAGTTTCAGGATGGCTAAAGATGTACTGAGAACAAAAAAACTTTGGGACATCTACCCACTTATGATTTTAGACCCAAAAGTTATAACTGAAAGTGGGGACAGTGTTTTTTTAATAATAAGTATAAATTATACTGAATATTTTTAAAAGTAGACATACTAGTAAGATTTAGGAGATTAAAGAAAAGAAGCAAGCTGTGACTCTAATTGGGATGAGCATGTTGAGAAAGTCTGTGATGGGAAAATTAGAATCTTTGCTTTAAATGACTCACCAGGTGATTTTGGTATGATTTAAAGATTGCCTATTAACATCAGAAATATCTGGAACTTTCTATTGGGCAAGAATTCACCCCCTTATTTAATAGTAATAATGATATTTTAGTTTCTAGAATATATGAGTCTAGACATGCTTGGGAACTGCTGCTTTAGGCAGACCGAGAGTCTCAAGAACACTTTGGCGGGGGGACTCCTTACTTAGGGTGTTGACTTGCAATTGTCTTGAACTCATTATCCCAGTTGGGCCGTCCATACAAAGTCTTTTGTTTCAGGCCTGTGATCACGTCTTTCTCCTCATCATGGTGCACAGCAAAGTGATTGGCCTGCAGGAAAGGACATGAATTCAGAAAAAAGAAACATGTTGTAAAAGCACATACAGATATATTTACATAATTCACAAACCAAGCTCTGTCAACAGTTTTAGCTGATACATATATGTATATGTATATGTGTGTGTGTGTATAGATAACCCATTCTATATATACACACACACACATATTTGCAGTAAGGCACCGTGCTGGAGGTTAGAAGGTAAACAATTAAGCAATTTACAGTCTCAAAGGGGAGACCTTGAAGTATTTATGTAAATAATCCTATTTATAGAATACAGTGTGGTAAGTGCCATGGAAGAGACACAAACATTCTGAGAACAAAGAAGGAAGGTGGAGTGGGAGGACAGGGGAAAGTTTAGGGCCTTAGCATTTGAGTCAGGGACTGAAGTGTGGGTAGTGTCTCACTGTCTTTTCTCTTTGCTCTACCTTTGACTTTCTCTCATCACCATAATATATTCCCACTACTTTGGGAGAATCACTAAGAACTGAAACAATTATAGACTAAAATGCACTCATATTTTGGTAACATAATGAGACATCAAATCAAGCCTAAAGTTAATCCATGTGAGTGTTTCCGTGTATGCGTATGCACATAAAGTCACATGTTGTTTTTCTGCTACTATTCTAGGGGTCCTCAATTTGAACAACAGGCATTTTTTATAAAAGGGTTTAAATTTATTTTTAAAAAATAAATCAGATTTTAACTTTAGTAGATGGATGATGGAAATAAAGGAGGTCCAAAAGGTGGTCATTCTTGTTTAACAATCCTCTAGGAACCAGTTTTGCAAAGCAAATAACTATTTTTTTTCCCATGTAAATAAATTACCCATTTAGCCAACTGTGTCTGGCTTTTTAAAATAAGAAACAGTAAAGCAATTTATATATTATATTATATTTTTATTTCTGGTGTTTCATTGTTATCACAGGGGTTTTGTTGTTTTGTTTTTAAATTGCAGAAGTTGCATCTTGAAACCACTTTTTCTGGAGCAGTAATTCTTATGGTCATGTGTCTTTGGATCTACATTTGTTATAAGACTCTTCTAAGACTTGAAGAATCTATGATAAAAAATATGCCAAAACTCAAATGAAAAGTCAGTCTTCACAGCAACAGGGGGCATATGAAAGATGCCCAGTTTTGTTTTTTTTTTTTTCCTTTTTGTCTTTTTTTGTGTCCGGCAACGGATCGCAACCCTCAGTGTCGCGCCCATACCGGACCAGGACCGGCAACGGGACCGCAACCCTCGGTGTCGTGCCCGCACCTCGCTCAGCCAGTGAGCAGGAACCGGTCTGTATGTGGGATCCGAACCCTCGGCGGGAGAGCCGCAGCACTCCCAAGCGGCGCACTGTAGCAGTGCGCCACCGGGCCGGCCCGAAAGATGCCCAGTTTTGAGGAGCCAATGGCTGGGTACAGCTAGCTGCTATGGTTTGAATGTGTTCCCTCCAAAATTCAGGTGTTGACAATGTGATAGTATTAAGAGGTGGGGCCTTTAAGAGGTGATTAGACCATGAGGGCTCCTTCTTGTAAATGAGATTAAGGTTTTTATAAAAGAGGCTTCATTCAGCATTCTGAGAGCTTGCCCTCCTGCCTCTTGCCATGTGAGGACATGGCATTCCTACCCTCCAGATCATGCAGCCCTCACCAGACAACTGAACCTGCTGGTACCTTTGTCTTGGACTTCCCAGTCTCCAGAACTGTGAAAAATATATATTATTTTTTTATAAATTACCCAGTCTGTGATACTGTGATATTCTGTTATAGCAGCATGAACTTACTAAGATACCAGCTGAGACACCTGACAGAAACAGGAAAACACTTTGGCCTTAGCTCCTTACTCAGGTTAATAGCTTATGTTGCTTCCAGGCCAAGTCATTAATGTTTGCTTATTAACAAAGACATTACCCCTCTAGGAATCATTAACTCATTTCAGGGTTTTTCAATCTTGGCAATTTTGATATTTGAGGATGGATAATACTTTGTGGTGGGAGGCTGTCTTATCAATTGTTAATGTTAGCATTGCTAAATGTCCCTGGTGGGGGCAGAATGAGGGGGCAAAATCACCCCCAGTTGAGAACCACTGGCTTATTTTATTATAGTGTTCTCCAAACATTTTCGAAAGCACATTCTCATTTGATATACATTTATGCACATATACACACATACACATATATATATAAATACACACATATATACGCTACACGCATGTATATCACCATCATTAGATATATATTAATTTATTTACAAATGATAATCATGAACTACTGTGAGTTGCTAAGAGTACAGGCTCTAGAGCATCCTGACTTTGCCACTTACTTATTGGGTGCCCTTAGGCAAATGACCTAACCTGTCCTGGGCCTTGATTTCTTCATCTATAAAATGTGGATAATAACAATAGCTACTTCACAGGGTTGTTGAGAGAATAAAATTAGACAACCTATGTAAACACTAAGAGTAGTACCTGGCACATAGCATATGCTTAATAACTATAAATTTATTGAGTATATTATAAAACATGCATAAACATATCAATATAAAATCCTTTAATAGATATGTTTATGCATTATATGTGTGTGTGTGTATATATATATATATATATATATATAAACATATATAAATCCATATATATGGAGAGAGAGAGAGAGCGTGCAAGAGAGTGCACACGAGCAAAATTTTTTTCCGTAACCTGGTGGATCATCTTGTTTACCTGATTTGAGACCGCTCTGGTGGAAACATTGATCTAATAATGTAAAAGTCATGGCTTTTATTCCTTCATAGGTTCCTTAGATTTGAACCTAGTCTGAACAGTCTAAACATCAAGTGGAGATATTGAGTGAGAGTGAATGGACTGGATCACCAAAATCCATTAACTGTACTTAGAAAAAAACAGTACACAAGACACACCAATAATCAAGGGGAAGTCAGTAAGCCCTGGCCACCATGGGGAGGATCTGAGATTGGAATCTTGTCCTCACCTGAGACTCATCCCAGCCAGTGAGATAGATGTTGTAGCTGAGGAAGCCAGCGTTGTTTCTCTCCTGCATCTGGGTCTCCAGCAGCTGCAGTAGGTCTGCAAACCACTCAAACGCATGTGTGTCCCGGCACAGCCAGTAGAAATAGATCTGAAAGAGGAACACATCACGAAGCAGATTATATTTGGATAGGCTGTATCAGTATTATCATATGGATTTCTACTGTCCCCCCAACTTTTTTTTCATGCTCAAAATGCCTAGAAACATAAGTTTTCAGAATGCTCTGGGCATTTTACAGGCTAGTTCACATGAACCTGCTAGTTCACATGAACCTGCTCTGAACTTCACACTAGCAGGACAGTAAATAAATAGGTTGGCCTCAGAAATACACAGCTTAGCAAAAACCATCAGCCTACCAACTTTCCCTCTGAGTTTGCTCTTACTCTCCCAGAATCTTTGGCTTTCTTTGTACCTCCTCTCAGAATCTAGACTAGCAGTGGCTGCCACAGGACTGTTTCCCTGCCTGCTACTGACAGACATTCATAAGTTCCTAATAAAAAAAAATAGTTCTACCCATGCCTTTACTCCATAGAAAAGAAGTAAAAGGGGAGAATGAAAAGTCAAGGTAGGCTCAACATCCCTATTAGAATTTATCTTTACAGCTATTAGAATGATTCAAGGTTCATTAAAGATGTCCTTTATCAGGCAATAAAACTAAATTTACACCTAACAAAAAATCCCCTGGGAATTGATACTGAGGAGATATCCATAATAAAGTAAAAGTTTCATGTCTCCTGCCCTCCCCCTGCAAAAAAAGTATTGGCGAACTGGAAATTGAATCAATCTCAATATCTAAAACAGGATGATAGAAAAATTATTCTATATCCTCTCAATAGAACATGAAGGAATCATTAAAAATCATCATTATGAATTCTGTGATAACACCGAATCCCACTTTCTATACTATGTTTAAAAAAGCAGGATGTGAAATTATGCATGCTCAATATTTACAACTTTCCAAAAATATGTAAACATGTAGAAAAATATTAGAAGAACTTATACAAAAAAGATAGCTATTAGGTTGAGGTTGTGAATACTTCCTCTCTTTCCTAATTTTCTTTCTTTTTTTTAAAAAGATGACCGGTAAGGGGATCTCAACCCTTGGCTTGGTGTTGTCAGCACCACGCTCAGCCAGTGAGCAAACCGGCCATCCCTATATAGGATCCGAACCCAGGGCCTTGGTGTTATCAGCACCGCACTCTACCAAGTGAGCCACGGCCCGGCCCTCCTAATTTTCTTTCTTTTTTTTAAAAAGATGACCGGTAAGGGGATCTCAACCCTTGGCTTGGTGTTGTCAGCACCACGCTCAGCCAGTGAGCAAACCGGCCATCCCTATATAGGATCCGAACCCAGGGCCTTGGTGTTATCAGCACCGCACTCTACCAAGTGAGCCACGGCCCGGCCCTCCTAATTTTCTTTCTTCTGAATTTCCAGTAACACTATAGAAGTATATATTACTTTCATTAATTGGTCTGCTTATACAGAAGCACATTTAATTTATCCACTAGTCCTTTGAAGAGAAGTCTGCCTCTCTGGAACCACCCAAAGCTTTCTTCACTTCCCGTAGTCTCTTCCAGCCTCAGCCCTGAAGGCCCTCTCAGGGCTCACTTGGCAGTGTGATGACCACTCCAGGCCCTCCAAAAAAAAAATTAAGGAACTTACCTTTTTTAGCCTCAAATTGGTGGCGTTATTGCAATATTTATACCAGACTGACTTGAGAATGGATGCGAAGGGCGTGACCCCAATTCCTGCTCCCACTAACATCACTACCTCATAGCTGAACACATCTTCGCTGGCTGTGCCGAAAGGCCCATCAACTGCTATCCTGAAAGGAGTGGGAGGAGATAATTACAGATATAGCTTGCTCTTCAGAATGAGACGGGACACCCATTGTCATTGGGGATGTGCAATATGTCAATTTGAATTGGAGCATTGTAATCTATGGGGCACTTTCTTCAATCAAATAGCTTTCAAGTAAACAACTTAGTGCCAACATTGGGGTTGGAAGTAAGAAGGGGGATTTTTAGCTAACGGAAAACATTTGGAACTCAGCATGGGTAATTTTTCATCTCACCCCACTTCACACAACACACACATACACACACCTGTATCTTTTGATAGGGCATTACATTTTTGAAATTTCTGCTTATATTTCACATTGAAGTGAGAATATTTTACGCATAACATCTTTTAGATTTAATATCTCCACTTTTCATTTGTCTGTTCATTGAGCTATTCAGTAGACTTTTCTTCAGCATCTACTAAGTGCCTGATACCTTGTTAGGCAGGTGGAGAAAAGGAGGTGAAATGAATAATATATGGCATTTACTCTCAAATATATGCCAATTAAAATTTAAGAACATCTTTGATACACTACAATTATGTTTATTAGGAAAGTTGATATAACTTGGCCTTGACCCTTACATATTTAAAGGAATTTGGGAGTATTCATTACTAATATTTATTTCAAATGTTTTATATTTCACAGAAAATTTATAAAAATATGCATAAACACACCACACACATGAAACCGGGAACACCAAGATAGCTACCTATATTTTAGAAACTGTGTGTTTTGTCAGAGACTCAGAAGCTAGTAAAGTGAGATACGAAGGAAGAGGAGCTATTTAGTGCCATTTTTCCTGAACTCATACACCTGTGTGATATGTACTCACTTAGGTAGTTTCCAGGCATCTTGAAACTCCTGCTTATCACAGCCACAAGCATTGAACAGCCCCTCTGTCCAGTCCCCGACAATTCGAATATGGATGCTAAAGAAGTCTTCCTCAGGGGCGGAGGTCAGTGTGAAAGGATGCCACTCCAGCTTGGACACCTTTGGGCACTTGACAAAAATGTATTGTCCCACTTCCATCTTGAATCCCTTCTTCTTCATCTGTAGCTCAATGGTTTTGAAAGGGTGAGTGACCACCTACAGAATAAAACATGTCTCTGGAAATGACACTTTTCCCAAAAAGTTGCCTTTTCAGTGTCCACATGGATAAAAGGCTGAGCTACAATGCCCTACCCAGTTTTCTTCTTCAGGGCCAACATAGCAGTTCCTCCAGCAGATGTGTCTGTCACTGGGCATTGATCTTGGCTGTAGCCCATGATCAATGATGGGCTGATGAAGATCCCTTTCCTCAATTTGGGACAACTCCAAGGGGCCATCTCAACTTTAGCACTCCCTATAGGATCAGCTGAGGCCCCAGTTGCAACCACATTGCAGGTTAGCTTTTCCCTTTCCCCAGTCCCGCCCTTCTTATTTCCTTTACAGGTTCTTCTCCTGAGAACCTGCCCCTATAAACCTTCGGCATGCAGTGCTCTGTCTCAGAGTCTTTACCAAGAAGTCCAATCCAAGATACTGGCTTTATTTTATTTTCCCTCTCAGAAGACAACAAAAATTGCTAAAATTTTAGAGAAGTGATGATTTCCTGTTCAGCCTTCCTATCTTCTCTGGGGATGAGAAAGGACCTTAGCAGCTAAACAGAAAAAGGATATTCCATTAACTAGTTATATAGCAATATCCCCATACTAAGCCTAACTTAACTATGCCAGTCTATCTTTGTCCTGAATCACGTCTTGAACCTGCATGATTCCATGCATTATTTCTACATTTCTATCTACCTGGGGAGTACACCACCCATCTACATTTCTATCTACCTGGGGAGTACACCACACTATTTGCATTTATGTTATACTCCCTGAGCCAGGCCCTACCCACCCACCGCCATACTCATTCCTCATGTACACAAAAGTTCATGGCAGCTTTATTTGTAATAGCAAAAAAATAAATAAATTAAAAATTAAAAAATAAAAAATGGAATGTCCATCAACTAGTGAGTGGATAAATATATTTTTAAAAACAGAATACAATAAAGAGCAATACAGAAAGTAATATACTATTTCTTTGATGATTCCTAAGACTACTAGAAGAATTTTACATGTATAACTAAATTTTATATGTATAATTAATTTTATATGTATAACTAAAGACAAACCAAGGGGCATCAAAAGAAAGAAAAATCAATAGAAACAAAATAGCAGCTTCCTAATATTGACTGATATTGCTGGGCTTTTCTTTTCATGAGTGGGGAGCTATGGAGAACTGAGACTTTTTAAAAAACTTGTGAAACATTTCCAAAGCTTGTGATTTAAGTGCATCTTATGTAATAAATCTCTAAACAACTTCCTTTCTTCCCTAAAATAAGAAGTTGTAAAGCTTAATTTTGAAAACAGAAAATGAAAATTATGTTGAAAATTGCCATGTTGCAATTTTGTGTGGTGAAAATAATTTTTACCATATTGCAAGTTTGCTACCACAGGCACAAATGGGATTTAACTAAATAAGAAGTACTAGTGGACAGCATTCTCATTGGAATACTTTTGGATAACATCTTGTTTCTTATATTTGTTTATGGGAGAAGAAAACAAAATTGCCTTAGAGGTATTTTTAAGGGAAGGAAAAGAGGTTATCTCTAGTCTAGTAAGGGAAATTTTGTGGCAGCTCATTTTGGTGATCTGTGGTATTTTTCTTATAATATGATATAAATATCACGAAAGGAGAAATGTTGTGGCTTCTTATATTTCAAGGCTTCCAATGCCAGCTGAACTAACTTTACTATGATCCTCCATAGATGCCAAATGAGAAACGCTAGGGCAGAGAACAGGAAAAAATTGAGTGTTTTGCAAAAAATAACCCATAGAGGCTTTTGGTAAATATTTTGTGAACTGAATTGAATTGATTTAAATTTTACTTGATAAAAATAGTCTTGTCTTGTGTTTCCTAAAATGATAACAAGGAGTCTCCATTTATATTTAGTTAACTTCCTGAGACATAGGGACTATAGAATATCAATTCTGATATTCTATAATTATACATAAAGCACAGAAAAGGAAGTACAGGTGGCCTGGGAAACCATGTCAACCTCAGTGAGACTTACCCCTGATTCACTGGTCTTTTGGCATCTGAATATTTTAAGACTAAATTTATGCCCTTGTGAACTCACCTCTTTTCCTTCTCCATTCTTAACTAATCTCATGGTGCCTCTGTGCCCTTCCCCTCTACACACACATGGGGGTGGGGGGACATTTATTCACACAAAGCACTCGGTTTTATTTTAATATAGAATATCGTAACTTCTATCTTCCCCAGTTAAAGGCCCAACTATTTCATTATTGAGCTAAGTACGTACATTGAAATAATGTACACGTGAGGTCTCCTCTCTGTCCTAAGTTTAATCAAAAGTAACTTGATAAAAGACAGCTCTGACCAATGATATAGAGAACTTGGATAGATTTATCCATGATATAGTTAGACATTGACGACTAATAATTCCAAAACCAACCAGTACCTTGGTGATGACCACCTTCTGTTGAGATCGCCAAAACCGGACCAACCTCTCACAGAGATAAAGGAACATGGGACCCACTATCCATTTCCAAGTCTGTAACCAGAGCAAAAATGAAAATGAGATGTGTTAAAGGGTGATAGCTAATAAAAGATTCAGAGGGAGAAAAAATTAGAACTTAAGTTAGTCTTTGTAGGCTTGTTTAAATATTTGACATTCAATAAGTAAATTCCTTCTACAACAGAATATATGAAAATATCTGAAATTAAAGTAAATTTTTGAGCCAGTACAAACTAACATTCTCCTTAGCCACATTGGGGAACTGTATCTACAGTATGAAACTCCCAAGAGGAACTGCCCACAAGAATGGGATTTCCTTTCAGTGTTGCAACTGCAGTCGCAATAACCCTACAACAGAGCAAGTTTGGTTTCAGAATAAACATTTCTCTAAAGGATAGCATTTCAGCAACATGATCTTTTTAATGCAACATTGCAATTGCTTTCTCTTAGCCATGTAGTTAGAGTTTACTCTTTTGCAAGATAACACATTTTGTGCAAAAGTTTAGCTGTTTCTTCAGTGTCCTGGTAAATTCTGGGAGCTGTGCAATGTGCTTGCTGAATGGGGACAAACCCAAAGTTTTCCAGATTTCTTTAGATACCCCTATGACCAGAATATGCTGTGATTCAGAACACTGGAATTACTCTGTAGCACTGTTGGCTATAAAAAAAATTTTGGCCAGACATATCCATCCTGGGACTCAGACAGTTGGGCTCCTATTTTAATACTTGAAGTGGCAAATAATTTTAGAAGGCAATAGCATCTAAAAGATGACTTTCCAGAATGAATTTAAAGGAGAAAAAAAAAATCAGAGAATGATCCTCATAGTCTCACATCTTTCTACTAAATCATTTTTTAGAAAACTGGTTTTTGGAAGTTGAGAACACGTGAATGTCCCCATCTGCAACCAAAGTTAAAGAATACCTGCCCCAGAGGTCAAGAATGTTCTGCTGCTGGCCTTCATTTTCATGGGACAGGTATTTAAAACAGTCTCATATCATCTGTCTGTTTCCTGGGTACCACCATGGGGCCCCATTGAATGGAGTCATATTTAGACATTGCCTCTAATATGCTCAGAAACCCAGAAGCTCCTTCGAGGTAGATGCCTTTTAAGGTAGCAGTGCTCCGATTCCAGCTGTCATCAAGGAAATGTGTCTTCCCCAGCCTATAAGAGGACCTGCAATACAGTTCCCTTTACATCCTTTCTACTGATGTCTGCATGTAGTGGGGGCAGTTCAATGATGTGTCTTTGGTCTTCCATTAATGAGCAAGGATGCTTAAAGATGTTAAGTGCTCAGATGACATGCTGTGTCTAGAGAAAGAGCACTCCCATGCTAAGAGAGCAGAAAAAAAGAAAGGAGAAAATGGGATGGAAAATTTGCATTTATGTTATACTGTGCTTAAAGAAAAAAATAATCCTGTTCAGAAGCCCTGTACAAATGTTGATTTTTGTCTAGTTTTATACCAATGGCTAGCACAATAACCAATAAAGTATACTGTCTGCCAGTGAGAGAAAGGATATGAAGATTACAGGGCCTACTTCCCATTCTATGGAGCAGAGATATTGAGAATACACAAAATGGAGCCCTTCAGAGCTCTCTATAGAAGAAGGAAAATATTTCACCATATTTTCTCTTGGACACCATTGCCACATTCCTTCCCTACCACACGGTGCCATTAGATGTTGATGTGAGCTTGGCTGTTCAGCCTCCTTCGTGCCTCACAGACAGGACCTCCGAATAGCTAGAGGCAGCCATATGCATCACCTCATCAATTTCCTTCCCAGCTCTGAAAGCTGTATAGAAAGTCTTACTTGATAGCACCAAGGTGCTCCCAGTACCGATCAGCCACACAAAATAAATAAATAAATAAGTAAAATAAAGAGCCCCCTATCTTTTTATAAGTGATTTACTCGAGTTATCCAACTCAGCTGAGGATGGATTTCCTAAGTGTCCCTCTAAAAATCATTAACTGGTGGCCCTCACACCCAGAAGAAAACAGATGGAACCTTTTGAACCCAAGCAGCACTTTTAAAAACACTGCTTTTCCAAGTTTCATATCAGAATGTTGATAACAAACCAATGCAAAGCTTATTTTTCAAGAAACAATTCTAGCCAATAAGTATAGCAGAGAAAAGTGGACACAACATATTAGCTATTCTAGGACATTCGTAATGGACAACTCTATGATATTTGTGCATGTTACTTAGGCACAGTTTGAAGATTGTGAATAATGGAACAGTAATAGCAGCAATGAGTTGTACATACCATAGGAGGGTTCCCAGAGAACTTCGGGACTGGGCAGTCTTTTATTTTTCCCCAATCTGAGATATTTTGCCAACATAACTCTGGTTTGTGCTCCTTCAAACTGTCGTTGGTCTGCCCACGTACAATTCGTCTGGGAGAAAAATGTAAGTCCAGATCATTTCGTAGCAAGAAATTAAGGGGTTTGTTTGTTTGTTTTTAAGAATTTGGGCATATTTTAAGTACTCTAACATGGGTCCTGTACTTTTTACTTAAAAGTAATATCTTACTGTCCTCCCTGAATATATTAGAGGAAGAGAAAGAAAAATATGTGATCTTCAGCAGTAGAAAAAAATATGTACAATGGCACAAAGAATATTTACATGTAATGTTATAGATGGTAAGTCTTGGGTCATCAATATGTGTTTCCTTAAAGAGAGAATTTGTGCTTCCATCTCGAGGACCATTTTCACTTATAAGGAAAGAAAAACAGAAAAACGCAAATCTAACATGGTAACTGCTAGTTGATACAGTGCCTTTGTGCAAATTAGAAAAAGGCACCCTTTCTGTAAGGAGAGACTTACAGGCAAAGAGCTTGGCCAGCAGAGTGTGGGCTAACTTCACCCTCCTTGGCCAAGCATCCTTGTATAGTGGACAACCTACGCAGTCATACACAGCAGGCTTGAGGCTTAGCAGAAGGCCAGACAGCCTGGGTTCAAATCTGTTACTAGTTTGGAGGCCTCTGGCAAATTATTTAACTTCTTTGGAGTCTCAGTTTCTTAAACTGTAAAATAGGTATAATAGTACCTCAGTAAAGGTTTATTTTAGTAATCAATTGGCATGATGTATAAAAAATGTCAATCATAAAGGTCCAAAAAATGATAACTATTAAAGTTTTTAATGCTCAATTCACACAGGAAGAAAAGGATAGAATATGAATTCTGATTTTCCCCTTGTCTTCTCAACGTTAGAATCAGGAATCCAAAAATCTGGGTTTTAATCCCAGTTCAACTGCTACCTAGCCATGAGATTGTGAACAATCACCTAACCAGCATAAATAGCAGCTTCTCCTCAAATGGAGAACAGAGCAAATATATCTCCTTTCCTGTTCCAAAGGAAGATGAATATCTATGAAAGTATACAAACTAGAGAGTGGAGGAAATTCCTTCTCTTCTCTAGGATTCTCTGAAACAGCTGGATTATGACTAAATCCCATTTAAAGATACTCAGTTGCTTTAGGAGAATCAAAGGATTCTTTGTGTACGCTAACTTCTCGGTGCTTAGAAAGAGTTCATCAGGGGTCAGAGTCAGCATGTAGATAAGAACGCACACAGTGGTTGCCCAGTGCGGCTTCTCACCCCCGCCTTCCTCTTTTCACACTCACATCTTGACCACTTCTAGGCCAACTTAGCTCTGAGCAGAGTGAGCCTTGAGCTCCTACTTCCTCCACCCCTAGTTTCCTGGGGCCCTATCCCCACCAGGGAACTTCCCCAGGCCTGCCTTTGTGTGCAGGTGTGAAATAGCAGAAAAAGGAAACCTAGTACAGTCGGCCCTTTATAGCTGCGGTTCTGCATCCGTGGTTTCAACCAACCACGAATGGAAAATATTCTAAAAAACCCACAAAACAATTTTTTAAAATACCACAATAAAAAAGCAATACAAATAAAAAACCAGTATAGCATCTATTTACATGCATTTATACTATATTAGGTAGTAGAAGTAAGCTAGAGAGTACGTAAAGTATACAGCAGGATGTGCGTAGGCTATATGCAAATACTACAGCATTTTATATCAGAGACTTTAGCCTATTTTGGTATCTACCAAGGTCCTGGAACCAATCCCTCACAGATACTGAGGGGTGACTGTATTAAAGAGTATTCTCAATAAAACAAACTCTCCCAACCACACACCTAGGCACTGTGTGTCTCTGTGAGAGCATTTATTGCACCTGCTTTAGACCAACTGGGCTCTAATCCCAGCTAGGCTGCTTACCAGCTGGGTGGCTTGGGCTATACATTTTAATATTTATAGCTTCATGTTCCTTTTCTAAAATTAGTATATCCAGGAAATGGAGATAGTTAGAGCATCTATACATTTTGGGAAATAAAAGAAACATTTCATGTCAAACCCTTAGCACAGACTCTGATGTAGAACACATACTCAAAAGAGGTCAGCTGTTACCTTTATTACATTAGAATGCTTGAAAGCAATATCCCTGCATTTGTCCTGCTATTATTCTCCACAATGCCTGAGAAGTTCCTCATATACAGCAGGCAACCAATAAATGATTGTTGACTTAAATCAAAACTTCTTGAACTACAGCCGATCCCTTCAACTGATTAACCTTTAATTCCTCTGGTTTGCGGGTTCATCCAGTTTACTAGTGAGGAAGTCACATGAGACATCCTTGCAGATTCCCAGGACCATATTAGGGCTCTCAACATGTTTTATACACTTGCAAAGATACTCAGACTTTGGTGTATTTTTGAAGCTTCCTATGAATAACTTCACTGTGAATAGTAATTAGTTGGGGGCAAGAAACTAAGATGCTGCTGGGTGATTTCTATCAAATTAACCTCTGCTGTCTTCTCACATTCCCTCAGCAGACAGGCTGACCACACACAGGCAAAGAGGTCACTGTACCTCTAATAAAGCATTACAGCTAGAAATTGGGGGACATAACGTCCTTGACTTTGGAGTTTAAACACTTACTCAGCTCCATGGATGGCAAGACCAATGAAGAAGATTACAAAGAGATGGTGCGTGTACCAAAACACTTCAAAGTAAGACCTCCGGATGGTTTTGGTGGAGGAGGTAATAATTAATATGAGGCACAGTGTGATGACGATTCCAGTGATGCCTGCCAACCGAGTCACAGCCACATACAAGCCTCCTTCAGGGTTCTGTAAAATATAAACACACACACACAAACATATATACATTATTGTAGGTTCTCAAATGCAAGGCTACCTATTTATAAAGTGTCCAGTGTATAGGGCAATAGATATTTCATTCCCCCTTTGGATAATTCTAATCATCTCTCATAGAGAGATATAGGCTCAGGATAGACATTTCTAAATTTTCGAATGTCTTACATGGTTCAGGAGTCATAGGAAATATGAAGAGATACACTTAAATAGTTTTAAGGAAGTATTACATAAAGGAAATTGATCGACTATAAGATGTACTAAAAGTGTCTGAAGCTCTTTCTACCTTTGCTTTGGAAAGGGCCACAGTGCTTAGTTTGCAAATATATTCTGGGAATGCCTAATATCTTAGGCTGAGTTCCCCGGAAGCAGATTCTGAGATTAGGATTCATGGTCAAGTGATCTAGAAAGGATCTGCTTCAAGAGAAACTGATAAGGGAGTGGGAAAAAGAATAGGAAAGAGGAATATGGCAAGCAAGGGGGTTATCTCAGGCAAAGTCTCATAGGGGATAGCTTCAGCCTGATACTACTGGGGAGCTCTGGAGGGAAAGCCTCAGAGTTTATCCTGATTCAATGCAAGAAGTCTGGGCTTTCTTGACCTGCACCCATCAGCTACTGGCTAAGGGCTGCCCAGAGAGGTAACCATCCAGGGCCTTCCAGATCTCTGAGTCTGTGGGCAAAGGAGCTCTAGTAGCCCCAGGGCAGTCCTCTGAGGAGGAAACACAGGTACAGGTAATTGAAAAGGAATGCAGTCAGAAGTAGGGGCGGAGCACAGAAGCAGTAAAAGTGATCCAAGGAGATCTGGGCAGAGCATGGCAATTTTGGCTCCCCTAGTATGTTCACACTGCCACCCTTAAATATCACTGGGCAAACAATGAACAATGTAAAAGAAAAAATTTCCAAGATATTGTAGAAGAAGAATTTCTTTGTTTGATGTTGTTTAATTCTTTCCTAAAGTAGATTCGACATGTTTCTCTCATGTCAGTCTGAGGATAATAATTTTTACAAAGTCAAGGGTCTTCTCTTGTAATCTTTTCTAAACACAAGGAAACATGTTTAGAATTCAGTATATAGTAATGTAATTTAGCCATCGTCCCAAGCCACTGGGCACATGAAGATGACATGGAGCTTCTCTCTCTCTGAGTGTAAGAAGCTTCAACAACTGCTAGGAGGGAAGAAGTCTTTGCTTCTGGATACTTTCATGGTTGCCCCTGAAGAACTGCTGGATTACTCCCAGTGCACAGTGATTCTCAAGGAATGACAATTAGCAGACATGGGCCATCCTTCCGTGGTTGTAGGTAAGAAAGAACAAAAGCGTCACTGACAGCTGTCAGCTGGTGACTGGCTTGACACTAACATTTAAGCTAGGATGTTCCCTACTTCATGGAAATAATTTCACAGAACACCAACATCAGAAGAAGTCACTCTGTGACTGTGATAACAAGAAATTAAAAACAAGACCACTTTGAAATAAAGTCTGAGCCCAGACAAAAACATGGGTGAGTACTGCTTCTCAACCTGTTATAGATTTAATTTCAGTCTGTTTCTTCTGACTCCCAGAAAAAAAGTTAAGATATCTAAGTCTAGAACTACCCCCAATTCCTGACTGTAACTGATCTAGAGCAAACCCTTGCTTTCTTAAACTCTCCCCAAAACCATCTAACAGAAGCCTAAGTCCTATAACAAGTCCCTCTTAATACCCATTTGAGATGCCCTAGAATTCCTCATGGTGTGAGTTCTATTTTGCTGTAGCAAGTGAGAAATCCAACTTTGTTTGACTAGATAAATGTCCCTGGTTTAGGCTTAGTCATGAGCCAGCCTGAGTCACTCCAAGCTCCATGAACATACATTCTCCCAGGTAAGCTTAAGGACCTGGAAAACATCTAGAGACCCTTCACCCATGGGATCAGGAGTGTAGGAGACATATTCCCTCTACTAACATTCTTATAACCTACAGACTTGTCCTTCTGATGGTTAGCTAACTTTTGTTGTTGTTCTGGCAAAGTAGAGTCCTTCACTCACTAAAATCTATTCTTCAGTTTTAACAGCCTAGAGAACATCTGAATTAGGAATGAGAGGCTTACCTTGATTCTCTCTCGAGCAAAATTGAGATAACTCTCACCCTCTTTATCTCCAATTTCAGAGAGCGCTATTGAATAAGGATCAGAATTGTTGACTCGGGCATTCACACACCACTCCACATTAAACAGATGTGCAATGGTGTGAATCGCTAAAGAGGGCAGAGAAGAGAAACAAAGAGAGTGAAGGGGATGCACAAATTTACTGTAAGCTGGATTTCTGGCCACAGCCTCTGACTCTATGACAAGTCACAGGGAGACACAGGGATGACCCCAGACATTTATAAACAAGAACTGGGTCTCTGGAACCAGGGAGGCAAGGCAATTCTAGCAGGTAAGCTCCTCTCTAGTTGTGTGATTTTAGAAAAATCACTTAACTTCTCTGGTCTTGGTTTCCTCATTTGTGAAATGAAGGTGTTGAGCTACATGCTCCTAATGACTGAACCAAGTACTAAGATTTTACAAAATGCCTTGAACTCTAAGGGTGTATAGATGTGCTCTCATTATCTCTCTCCCCCTAATGTATTTGTGCTCAAACAAGAAAACTCTCATGTAATGCATGCCTAATGGCTGGTCCATTCACCTGACTCTGAAATTACCGTCAGGAAGAGATGACACATTCGATTGAATGGACACAAAGCAATGGACATAATTATGAGTTTCTTTAAAAAAAATAATTCCATTTTTTTTATTTAACAAATACTTTCATAAGGCTTACTAGGTACCAAGCACTGTTGTAAGTGCTTTACAATCACTTAATCTTTACATTTACCCAATGATATAGGTACTATTAATATCAGCTCATTATACGTATGAGGAAACTGGGGCATAGACTGCATTAAAACCTTGTTCAAGGTCACCAGGGTAGGAAGTGGCAGAGTTAGGAATCAAAATCTGTGCTCTTAACCAGTATACTATGCTACTTTCTAACAAGATTTCATCAGACATTTCTTTTGAACTCTTGTTTGCTACAGTTCAAAAGTCCTGCATGATCTACTAGTAAGAGAAGAGAAACCCAGTTGAACGTCTGTAATCTAACCTATTTTACTCAGATTAAGGATAGACTCCTTAAGGGCAAAGCAAAAGTCTGTTTTGCTCATCATTGTGTATATCTACTGTCTGGCACAGGAATTACTTATTAAATGAATTTGTGGAGATTTGATAAGGGTCCCAGATACATCTGTTCTTGCACTGACATCACCATTCTAATCATTATAATAATAACATATATACATATGCATACACATTATATGTATAGATATAATAATAACAATAATAATGAAGATGTTTAGTTGATAAGAGTTGTCTTAAGGAATTCTCTATTTATGGCTGTAGTTACTGTGTAGGTTTACTGCAAAGAATCCACAAATCCACATGTGCAACCAACCGTTTTTGTAGAATTAATAAACATTCTCGTATGTGAGCTAAAAAAATTTTTGGTACTAAAAAAGATGGAAAAGGGTGAGGAAACTGGGGATTGAGTTTTTCCCATGGTGTATTTTCATTTTTAAGACCTAAAGGAATAAATCCTAATATTGGAATGACAAAAAAAAAATCCTAATATTGGGATGATGATAGAACTTATCAAAAAAATACCACATATCCAACCACCACCTAATCTACCTGTAAAGACTCTCTTACAAAAAGGTATCTAAGAATAGAGGAAACTTTCTGGTTCCAAATTTTCTTTGAGATCTTAAATATCTTAAGACACTTACCAGTGTGAAGTGCAATCATCCATGCCACCATTTTATGAAAGGTGAGATTCCTGTCCAGTTGTCTTCGAACTCTTGTTGAGCAGCACTTTGCATTAAGGGGAAAGAATGGAATAGTAATTGTTAACAAGAAGGCTTTCTACATATCATTTCATTTGATTCATTTGATGCATATCATCTTATTTGATATCATTTAATTTAATTTGACACATATCTCATTTAATTCTCATGACCACCCTACTAACTATATCATTCTATCTATTTGATAGATGAAGAAACTGAGGCTCAGAGAGATGTAGACATCTTTCTCAGGTCAAACAGCCAGTATGCGACATAGTTACTTCAACCAGTATGTTTTCTGTTCTCATACCAGTGACGTGATGTCTCATCAGGAATACATTGCTTAATTGTATAAAAAATGCGAATTTTTTAGAATTTTAGAAAGTAATAGAGGATAGGCCTATTCTCACATACTTGACAGTCTAGTGGGGACACAGAGCAGTGAACAGTTCTAGAACAAGTAAATAGTTCTCAAACAACACTGTTCTAGGACATACACACTATGGGAGGAGAAAGAAGGATCCACTTGCCTAATGTAGGTCAAAGACATCACAAGGGAGATCACTGACCAAATAATAAGAGCAAAAATAACAATAGCTAATATTTACCAAGAGCTTGTGCAAAGAGCTGCTCTAAGTGTTTTAAATACACTGACTCATTAACTTCTTACATCAATCCTATGAGGGAGGTACCATTATTAACTACATAACAGATGAAGAAACAAAGGCGTAGAGAAGTTACCTTGCTCTAGGTCACACAGCTAACAAGTGGCAGTGCTGGGACTTAAACCCAGACAATGTGATACCAGAGTTTATATCAATATTATGATATTTCATACCTTACATGAGTACCTTGACATTAAAAATAGTATTTTGGCTCATAATTTAGTGTATCTATCCTACCTCCATATGTTAGAAGATGTGGGTTTGAATCTGGGTTCAGGCCAATGCTCAAAGCAGAAAAAAAAATGCTGGTTTATGGTTGAATTAGAGCTTTCTTCCTGAAAACTGGCTACTTTCTTGCTCTGGCTGCTTTGTTTCAGAGTGTAAATGCACTGCCACGGAGATTCAGAGAACTTTAAGAGGAGAACAAATTACAAAAAAAAATCTTAGGTATTTTAACTATCTGGTTCTAAATGTTGGATGCAATTTAAATATGAGAGTGTCTAATATTTGATTTACTTATTTTTATTCAAATGTTGTGATTTTATAGGAAAATAAAACTGTCTCTCACTTAGGGAGAACAGGTTGTATGGATCATGAGAGCAGATTCTTGGAATTGAAGAAATACTAGTAAAGAAGACACTGAGGATTCCAGAAAAAAGGAAAAAAAAAATATTAGGCTTTATTGAGTACCTTCTGTGAACCAGGTAGTTTACCCATAACTATTACCTCATTTAGTGAAACAAGGTAAATATTACTGTCCTTATTTTACAGATAAGATCTCTAAAACTAAAATCTCACATTGGCTGGGATCCAAGTCTATTTGTCTATAAAAGGTTCATGCTTTTTTCCACCAAACCAAATGCAAGAATAGTCACTATTATTCTAAATGCCTAAAAACCTGAGACAAGAATTTAAGTGTAAGTACTCTATCTGGAAGGTGATTACAGAAAATGAGGGTAGGAGAAGTGAGGAAATAAACCAATAACGGGTGTATTATCTTATCACCCGCTACTATAATATCATATCAGTGGGCTCAGTCACACTGGGCAACTCTGGAAGACTGTGTAGAACTCATCCAAGAGGTTTTTTGTTTTTCACTTGCCCTGTTTTGTTTTGCTTATCTAAAGGGTTAGGAAGCTTGCGTGTTCATCCACCAACTCTCATCCACCGCTGGCTGAAGGCTGCTCCCAGGGAATCAACTCTCCGGCATTTCAGGCTTGCCCCAGGAGAGGGTTGAAGGAAACTCTCCAGGCAGAGGATGACTGGTGCTTGCAAAAGCCAGCTGCCCATATATTGGAACTGTCAGTACTTAGGGAATATGGTGAAGCTCCAACAGCATCGGCTACAACTAAGTGCCCACCAGTGCAACTGTGCAGTGACTCAGGCTCTCAAAACAAGAGTTTCCTGTTTGAAATAACTTATTATACATTTCTGTTGGTGAAAAATTGACTGTCCTTGTTTTCTTATATAGCTTAGTTGTCTTCTGTGTTTATTTCAAGTGCTGAAAGTTTTTTTTGTTGTTGTTTCTTTTTTTTACTGCTTTGTATTCTTTACAGTTTTAAGGGAATATCTGTTTTCCTGTTTCCCAATTGCAAAGCTCCTCCACAGCCTCTAAAAGTCCTTGTGGTAGGCAGAATTCTAGGATGACCCCCAATGACCTTACAGAGTTTTCTCCTCTTGAATTTGGATGGGACCCATGAATATGACAAGATATCACTCCTGTGGTTTTGTTATATTGTATGGCAAAAGGGATTTTGCCGAGGTAAAGTCCCAAGTTGACTTTAAGAGAGACACTATCTGGGTGGGCCCAATCCAATCATATGAGCTCTTTAAGTCTAGAAGTCAGAGCTGGAGGAAGTCAGAGATTTGAAGCACAAGAAGAATTGAATGTGCTGTTGCTGTCTTGTAGATGGAGGGGGACACATGGTAGGAAACGCAAGGGCCTCTAGGATATGAGAGTGGCCTGGGGATGACTACCAGAAAGGAAACATGGACCTCAGTCCTGCAACTGCAACAAACTGAATTCTGCCAACAAGAATGAGCTTGGAAGATGATTTTTACCCGCAATACCCAGATGGAAATTCAGCCCAGTAGACACCTTGATTTCAGTCTTGTGATACCTTGAGCAGAGAATCCAGCCACAGGGTGCTGGACTTCTGACATACAGAACTGTAAACTAACAAATGGGCATTGTTTAAAGCCATCAAGTTTGCGGTAATTTGTTACATAGCAATAGATAATATAATCCTTACTGAAGTGGTAAAACTACACTGGACTCCTAAGAATCATAAATGGGAATTGGTAGGGTTGGAAAGCAGTACTGAATTACATTTGAGAGCACATTTTGACTTCAGATATGCCTGTTGGGTCCCAGCCCTACCACCCAGCTGTGCGACATTGAACAATGTTCTCAGTCTCCCGTTTCCTCACCTATAAAATGATCATAGTTCTCCCCTCATAGGCCTGTTGCATAGATTCACGGATAGGTGTTTAATCAATGTTTGATGTTATTTTGTGTCATTACTTAACTTTTCAACTAGTATGGCTTGGCTCCCCAGCTAGAGGGTAAGCTTCTTGTATGAAGAGCAGTATGTCATATACTTTTTAAAATCCTTTAATAATTATTTGGTTGGATAAATGAATTACACTTTCACCGCTCTAGAACCTAAGGTGATTACTCTAAACTATAGAGATGTATTTAGCCCCATATCTATGCAAGGGGACTTCAAAAAGTTCCTGGAAATAATAGAATTAAATGATAATATGAACCTTTCTGTGAACTTTTTGAAGACCCTTCATACTTGCCACATTGTTTTCTGCTTCTCGACAAATCATTTTTTCAATTTATTTTTTTAAAAAAATTATCATTATATAATTTAATTGATTTTCATGGCTCTTTACCAATTCCTCCCTTTCCCCCCTTCCTCTCTCCCTTTCCCACCCCCAGCAGCCTCAGGTCTGTTCACTTCTCTTAACAAGTTCAAAGAATTATTGTGGTGGTTGTGTCTTTTTTTTTTTTTTTTTTTTTCTCCTTTTTATTTGACAAATCATTTTGAAACTACTTTGGGGGGAAAATTCACTGGCTCCTGCATGCTGAATTTGAAGAAAAAGGATATGGTTTTGTTGCAGTCCCTACACCATCTCCACAGTCCTATCCTTATCATTGTTATCAACATGGATCATCAGAAAATGTGAAATGATAGACATTATGCCCCTTAACAGCTTTAGCAACAGAACTTTAATGAAAAATAAACCAAATGCCAGAACAATGAAGAGATATGCTTGGGAAATACAGTGTCCGTTCAGTAATGTAGTACTCTGTTTTATCTTAATAATTTTTAAAAAGCTAGTTAATATAAAACACATATATTTTATTGAAAGGAAAAAGAGACTACTAATTACTAATGGGCCAGTGGAATGGGTCCCACTAGGGCACCGATCCCTAATTTCTCCCAGCTACCTTCTTTGTTGTGGTCAGGAATGGCAAACAAATCTAAAGAGAAGCCACAGTCAGGCTGATGTTGGGCTTTCAAGAATATGATCTCCTCACCACTTCCTGGAAAGGGGGCAAGATGACCAGTTGGAGAGGTGGGAAGGAAGGGCTTTGCCGCCTGTGGCTGCCCAAGATTTTTGTTCCTCCTCACCCTGCAGGTAATATTTATATGCTTTGAGCCACCTACCAATTGCCTAAGCCGCTGATATGCTCCATAGCTTCCTCACTGAACTACCGCTTTGCTTTCTGCCATTGACTTCTAAAGGGAAGTTTCTCTATGACTGTCAGCTAGGGCCTTGCTCAATTTCAATAAACTAATTCATTCTAATGCAAGGGAGATTATTGAGTCACCTTGGCAGATTTCTATGCTCTATTGAAACTGAGTGATAAAAAAAATTCAAAAAAAAGAGAAGTTGAACTAAAAAGAAGTGCATATTTAATGGGGTGTAATGTGAGTTTCTATAATGAGTGTTACAGAAACTTAAAAGCCCTATTTTATGTACACTTTGTCTCACCACATATGCCATTAATGTATGTGAGTTAGATATTTATATGCAATTTTGGAGAAATTGCAAAAGGCAGACTTGAATCTACAGAATTCAGGCAAAGAAGCTGATAGTAATGTCCACACCTGGTGGCAGTAGAATATATAATAAATATGAAGATCGCCACTGTATTTGCATAGCACTCTTTATTATTTGGAAATCACATATATTCTCTATCTCCTCCATGAAACTCTAAACTCCTTAAGCTCATGGCCCAACCATATCTTACTCTTTACTTACCATGTGTTCCCGGTGCTTAGCACAGAGACTGCACTCAGTAAATATTAGCTGACTGACAACTCCCTAAATGATGCTTAATCAATTAATATACTTTTAGAATGGCATATTTGTTCTTACATTTGCATTATTTGACCTATTTTTTCAGCTAAAAATACTATGAGACAGAAAGCCCAAGAGACTTGAGCTAGGCCAGATGGTTAGAAATAGAGCCACGCTGAGGATAACAGATAAGACTGCACCCTCTGCCCTTTCTTTCTTTTTTTTTTTTTTTTCCTGATCTTAAATTAGTTTCTGCATGGCAAGTTGGGGTTATTAAGGCTTCCCCAGGGATTTCTGTATGCTGAGCCCCACCTTATCCCAATCTCCCTCAACAAAGCAGGCTGAGAGCCGTTACTACCTTTCCTGGCGAGGGTGGGGTTGGGGGGCAACCTTGGGGCTTCCTTTTTCCAGGTAACCAGGATTACAAAGCAAAGTCTGAATGATTAAGACCTCTAAAAACTAAACAGAAGTTTGTGGCTGTTTAGTTCTCATAGCATATTACAAATGAGTCCTTGAAGGTACAACATCCTTGTCATGTCTAGCCTAGGTTATTTGGCATGCTCGAATGTTTACATATATGTGGAATTTTAAGACCATCATACTGCAACAGGACAGTTTCAAGGAGTTTAGGTGGCACGTAGAAAAGTGAATGGTCTCTGGGGCACAATGATCTAGGTTTGAATCCCAACACTCTCGTTTCTCTCACCAAACTAAATCCCACTGGCTTGATTTGCAGATTTCATGAGGTGAGCTCTATGAAGCTTCGATGACTGCTAGCTATTATCATTTCTGACATTGGTCACAACACACTCACTCATTTTTTATCTCAATTAATAAAAAAGTTTAATTTGCGAAGTTCACATTTCAGGTTGGAAAGCCCGGAAGGAAGGACATGCCCTGTCTGTAAAAGAATGCTGCTTGCTGCTAGTTTTTAAAAATATATTATTTCACATAAAGATCTGTCTGGTTACAGAGCTAAGCTTCTATACAATTTGAAAAGCAGCCTCATTTCATCCTTGTCTTTACAGACCCTCATGAGGATCTTCTCTCCCGGGCCACAGGAAGCCTAAAAGTTTCCATTACAACATGTGCTGCTCATGGGACATGACAGCTCAACGGCAGTGCAATTTGGGCTTGTGGGGCAACAAGGGTTTCTTAATGGGTCATCCTAGTAAAAATGTTGCCTGTTTCTCTGGCTTTACTTCCTCTAAATAGAAAGTATTCGAATGTGGGTAGGGAGAATTAAAAAAAAAAAACAACCTGTGTCTCTTTAAAAACAAAAAGCTGCAGGATATGAGCTTCATTTAGCAAATGTTCATTGGGCACCTACTGTACATCAAATAGTACTTTACTGTAGGTGGCTCATCAATAAAACTTTTCATCGAGTGGAATTTTATCTCTGCGGCTTCTTAAGCTGAGAAGATTATTTGGAAATCCTTGTAATCTATGCCTAGCATCAAGTGCTGTTGTTACTTTTCGGTTTTGTTTAGCTGTCAGTTTGCAAGACTATATTGTTCAACATAGAGTTTATGGTTTAAGGAAAGGAGCCTTATCACTGTATTTTCCAGAGGAAAAAGTCATTACTCTTTCTGGTCATCTTAAAATGTTTGATAACATTCTTTTTTTTTTTTTTGTTCCGATGAAGTGAAGGTGTTTCTGCCAACTTTTACGTTAAAATTAGACTTGTGAGAGTCCAATTTTGGTAGTTGGTTGAAGATGAAATGGCATTTTTTAAAGAGTTAAGTCATAAAATATAATCTTAATTGTACCCTACTAATTCTGTATTAGTAAATCGAGTGTTGCATGTTCTTAAAGAAGGAATTCTTCTTTGGATCAATGTGAATTTAATATGACTAGGAAAAACAAGACAGAGTTCAAGGCAAGTTATACTCATTATTGACAGTTTAGATCACTTTCCTCTCCCCCCAAACATTCTGTGATTGCCAAATTAAATATTAATTCCTCGGCTATACATTTAAGGTTCTAGTTTAACAGCAAAATTTCAGCTCTCCTCTCCAGCCTTATCTCAAGCAACTGCCATATACTATGCCTAGAGTCCCATACAAGTAATTTGCTTGCTGCTCTCCTCCATAAATGATTTCCACTTTTTAGGTAATTTTTTTTTAAAAGTTTGTTAATATAAAACACATACATTCTATTAAGAGGAAAAATGGAAGCTACTAGTCACTAATGGCCAGTGAAATGGTTCCCATCGGGACACCTATTACTAATTTTTTCATGCTACACTCTTTGGTATGGTCAGGGGTGGCAAAAAAAAATCCCCAAAGAAGCCAAAGTCATGCTGATAGCTGGCTTTCAAGAATATTATTTCCCCCACCATTTCTTGTGTTTTTGCTCGTGCCATTTTCTCTATGAAGAATGCCTTTCTTTCTCATTTAAATCTCTTAGATGCTTACTTATCCTTACATGCTCATCTCTAACGCCACCTTCTCTAAGAAGCCTTTCTTCATTCCCTGCCCCACTTAATAAAATTTATCTCTCCTTTTATTCCCAATAGCTCTTTATCCGTAATGTTTTGTGGAACCTGCCATATTTTGCTTTGTATCATATTTATTTGAGTATGTGTATAGATTGTAAGTTTCTTCTTTCTCACCTTTGTATAATAATACCAATAAGAAATTTGTGTATCATTTTATAGGTTACAAACGTTCTTCCTACTTAACCTTCCCCCCCCCCCTCTAGCACAGTACATTTAGGGGCTCACTAAATTTTGGAAGTGAGGGTGAAAAAGCCCTGGGCATTTAGAAAGCTCTGCATTCCCCAACTCCATGGAGCCAATACTTCTTAGTCACATTTATTATAGTGTGACTCTTTGCCCATTGATTCCATCTTCTCGGGATGTTATCCACAAAATATATTTTCTCTTAATGTTTTTGAATGATACTCAAAGATTAATTCCCAAATGTCACATGTCAGCCTCAAAAAGGCCTTTCGTCATTGCTATTGTTACGGGGTAGGTTGATTGGTTGTTCCTTTTTAGATTTTTTTCCAGGTTAAACGGTTATCCCAGCAAGCTCCATCCACAAATAGTATAGAAATAAACTAGAGAATAGGGCATGGTTTGGTTCATGAATATTCCACAGAAGCGGGAATCCTCACAAAGCATTGGTTTGCTTTTCCTAAGAAAGGATATTTTTCTTGATGGCCTTTGAAAATTTGACGAATTCAGTAAAATGTTTGCTCTTACCACACTGGAACCCCTGAGGAAGGAGAGCAGATTTCGACAGACTGGCAACAGGATCAGCATGCAGTTGAAATTCAGGCAGGCTGCAGGAGCCCTGGCCAGTGCCAGCGCTGACTGGAAGAGGCAGGACAGGGAGCAGAGTGACTACTGGGAGATGGATATACTGAGCACCCTGATATGATCATTGCATATAGTATGAATGTATCCAAATATCATATTGCGCTCCATAAATATACACAATTATCATGGGTCTGTTAAGAAAAATAGTGGTTATCAAGAGGCAGAGAAAGGGGTGGGACTGAGGAAATGTTGGTAGACTGGTACAAAGTTACAGTTAGATAGGAAGAATACGTTCTGGTGCTCTAGGGTGACAATAGCTAATACTATTGTATTGTATAGTTCAAGGTAGCCAGAAAAGAGGACCTTGAATGTTATAACCACAACAAAATGACACGTGTTTAGGTGATAGATATGCTAACTATTCTAATTAGATCATTATACATATATATATGTATGAAAACAACAAACTGTACTCCATAGACATGTGCAAAGAAAAAAATAAATTAAAAAAAGAGTGACCCTGGGGGCACTGGAAGCCCCCAGCTCCCTCTTCCCCCATGGTTCCCAGCATGAGGCCACACACCAGAGGCACCAAGTAATACTAGAGTTGGTGTCAAAACTGGTCCTTTTTAAGATCTTAAATAAGGTTTTCTTAGCACTTAGATTGATCTTAACAGTAACCTAAAATAGTATAGTATAATGTTTTGACATTAAAATTATTATCTTTGTAATGTCCAAAGAATTTGCATATTTTGGAGGGGGAAAGCATCAATGTGGATAAGTTAACAACAATAATAATGTAGTATAATTATATATTACAATTATTTGCACGTGATTTATAATACGTATTATAGTTAATATTAAGTAATTATTTCCTAGTTTCAGCATGATGTAACAGATGATGTTCTCTGGGGGCAGCTGCAGTTGTAATTATTTTCATTTTTGATGAAGAAGAGGCCTGACAGTTCAAGGAAATAAAGACTAAAAGACCCAAGGAAACTAAATGGCCTTCACTCTGCTGGCCTAGTCAACCAATGTGGCCCTTGAGCAAGTTCCTCAAAGTCTCCATGTGTAAAGAGAAGCTGATTTTCTGAAGATATTTCATAACATATCACCCAAAGCAGGGCTTTCCATGCACAAAAGTGGTAAGAATCAGAAGACTTAGAAAATATGGGAAGTCCCACTTGTCCCTCATGTGCCAACCCTGGATGCATCGCTTCAACCTGGCCTTCCATTCCAGAGTCAATATTAGATTTCTCCTTTAAGCTAAACAATGGCACATGGTTCTTAGGAGGGGAGGGACCCTCTGCCACACTTTTGTTTGTGCCTCACTGGAAGGCCTTAAGAGACTCTTGCTCAGGAGGTTACAATGGAGGGAGTGGGTCTGATGGTGCTGATTGGATTGGTCAGACTATTTCTTTAAAACGTTAAGGGGAACAAGAACATCTGATTAGAAATGTGAGCCAGCCTAATATTGCATGAGGTGGAACTTCTTATACTTACCCCAAGAAGTTTTCGAGTGTAAAAGAACTTCTCTGGAATATCATAAACCCGGTAGTACCAGACAAAGAGGAAGACATTCATCCCCAGCCATACCAGCTGCACAAACAGAAATAGATGGCGTGAAGTTTTCGCATTTCAACCCGTTGATTCTACACAAGATTGGAGTCAGATGAAGGTCAGGACTTCCCCAAGCCCAGCCTTCAACAAAGTTGGTTACAAAGCTAGGTGTAATCAGCTTAGAGCCAGCTCTTTCTTACAAGAGTGTCGCTATGTTTTTCTGAGTTAATCTTTCCACTCTGGGTTATTCCCATGACTGTTTTACTACTTCACCAGTATGCCAAATTATTATCAGTCTATCTCCCCCCTTTCTTTCTCCTCCTCCTTAGATAGGTAGATGACAGCAGGAGAATCTTAAAATAGGGAGGGAGGGGAATATGTTATTATTGCTGTCCTCCACCAGTAGGAGATTATGGTCTGCTCTCACAGGTGCTGATCACCTCCCTCCACCACACAGCATCCCACCCCAGCTAGTGGGAGGCTTATCAGCTAAAATGCCAAGCCTTCCATTCTGCTTGGTAAATATTATTTAACTTTTGAAGGCAGAGACATTGAGCATGAGTGAGGGTGTGAGGGGCATTAGATTTAAAAATAAAGAGAACTTTCCAGATTGTGACTGCTCATTTCATCTCAAGTACTGACTTTATCAAGTGGTGACACTGCCCAGTCCTGTACCTTCACCTTCATATTGTTCTCTTCTTAACTGTGCTTTGAAGCTACTAAATGTCCTTAGAAGCTCGAGAACAATTTCTCCTTACAAAGAAGGTGCTAAAACAACTTCTCCATTTCCTGACCTTGTCATTTCTTCTTAATCTGGCTTTCTAAGCTGTGTCTTCACTTTCAAGTGTTTGACTGTATAATTTAGAAGGAGGTCATTTCCCGGGGAAAATTGTAGTGGGAACTAAAAGTATAATTTGAACTTGTTTTCTATAGGAGTAATCTGCTCTTAGAAGGGTGATAAGAAATCAAGTTTACAGCTTCAAATTCTCAGAATTCTGTATTGCATTAGAATGTTGGTTTGACATAGAATATTTATTTTAATAACAAAATATTTGTTGTTTTTATTTTATTTGTGCCACTGATTTCTTTCTATCTTTAAAACTCAAAGATTCAATAAACTTCATAATATATTCTGACAAAAGTTCCATTTCTAAGTGTTCTTTTAAACATCTGTATAATGCTTCCATTGGCTATGTGGAAAGACGATTTAGAAATCACATTTTTATCTACTAGTTTGTCGATGATTGCTTTGCTAAGACCACCATCTTAAGAGAATAGTTGATCTTCTTTATGTTAGAAGTACAGAAATTAATTTGTCTATTTGAAAATTAGCCATATCTTTACTTACAAAAATTGTTTCTCAAGAGAGATCATATTGATTTATATAATTATATATACCTGTAATAATATGTATATGCACTACATATAAGTCTAGATGACTTATTTTAATACTCTTCTCTTGAATTTTTATAAACCTCATAAATAACTCAAGTTTAAACTTCAGAGAAAAGAAGGTACTTGTTTTAAAAAAGGAATTTGAGAACTTCAATTATTTTTGGTGTAATTATTTAAATAAAGGGCAATTTCCTATACATGAGCCAGTCTTATACTCATTATTTGGAAAATGGTATAAGACTTCAAGTGGCCATTTTTTAAGTAGTAAAAACATACAAAAAGTAGAGAAATTTACCTCTTAAGCAAACATCAATAAACAACTCAGAATCAGGGATTATTAGCAGGAAATATCTTCTACTCCCTCTGTGACACGCTGGCTAATTTAGTATTCCCAGGAACTCAGAAATAAATTAGGAGAAATGAGTCCTTCCAGATATATTCTTTCCATTAAGCAATTTGGAAGAATGGGCTCAGTCTGCTTACAGATAGATGTATGTTCACACAGTAAATCAGTTTCAACACAATTTCTCAAACAAAAAATTTTTGCTCTATTTTATTTCCAAAGAGAACTCAAATAAGTCAGAGAATTCATAATTTGTCTCTTGATAGTACTTACGATGACAAAGATGGAGAGCCCCTCATTCACAGCCCAGTTCCCCATGGTGGCAGAGGTTCAATGTGTTGTGTCAGCCTTTCTTCTATACTATGCTTCTTCCAATGAGGAAATGAAAACAGCAGCCTTGGGGCAATTTGTTTCCTTTTTTATTGTCAGAAATTAGCTAATCATTGGTCAACTGAAAAGCTTGTTTCCATAACAAATTTAAATCTTTAAACCACAAAAACTGCAGAAAAAAGATCTGTAATGATCTAATCACAACTAAACATAGTGGAAAATAAAACTAACTTCTACAACTGGGAGACTAATAACAGCGCAATCCATGGAATGTATTTTACACAGTGAACTAAATTTTTGACTAACCAGTTATCTGCTAGCAATTTTTCAGTCATTAAACTAGCCATAACTTGATGCTGAGTAAAACAAATCAAACACGTGCAATATCTTTTGACAGGCTGGAGCAGCATTTATAGCCTTGTTGAGAAAAGTAGTAAAAATGGTGATGTTTGATATTCATAGGATGCTTACGACATACCAATTTTATATGCTGTATGTATGTCTATATGTGTGTATGTGTGTATATGTACACATCTATATGTATTTGAGTTAAAACATACATATATAAATATATGTGTATATTCACCCACAGACACATATGCACACACATACACACATGCCAATTCATTTGATTCTAACAACTCAATCTAAAGTAGGTTCTATTATTATGATTACATTTACAGGTGAGGAAACTGAGGCCCAGAGCAGTTCATTTACTTGGCCAAGGTCACACACTAGGATATCGTGAAGTTGGGATTTGAAACCCAAGCAATTTTGCTCCAAATCCTATACTTTTAATCATGACACCAGAAAAAAGTCTGACAGTGCCAACCCTACCCTAAATCACTCCACATATGACAGAAAATGAAAATATAACAAATAAACCAAAATGTTCGGATGACAATCATGCTCCCAGGCAGACATGACACCCTCTATGCTAAGTGTATAAACAGGATCAGAACAAAGATATGTCAGTAGTAGCTAGATGTAGCCCCCTCCCCCGGCTGCTACCTACTAACCTTCAAGACGCGAAACAGACAGGAGGGTAGGATGGTAACGCCACTGTGAGGTCAAAGTTAACAAATGGCATGAGGGTGGTTGTCCAGCAACTATAGCTAATAGGGAGGTTAAAAAGAGAGAGAGAGAGAAATTGGAGGAGCAAAAGGGAATGAAAGAAGAAAAAAGAAAAAGTGCATGAACTCTTGGTTGCTGTCTATGAACCACTAAGGACAGCCTCTGGAATTATGACAATAAAGTAGTACTGTTTTTCACTTCTTAATATTCAGGGAAATGTACTCCACTATGACCTTTTTCATGACTCGAATCATGTGTAACCCACATAAAGGGAAGCTGGCTTCATGGTTTCTTTCTATGCAGAGACAAATTCAAAGAAACACACTTAGATAATCAAAACATGTGCCAGGGATTGTTCTGTTTGCTCTCAGATCTATTTCCCACACTTTCCTTGCTCTGCTGTGTTTCAGAGGGAATTACATTTGCCAGACTCCTTGGCCCTCTGACCTCTGATATGTTTAGCCACATTAGAGGCTGGGGAGCAGGAGAGAAGCCAGAGTGTTTCTTCCCCTAGCTTTCTACTTCAAGTTGAATTCATGAAGTAGCGGCATCTCCACTGAGTTTCTAGCTCCCACCAGTCAGCCTCTTCCTCTGGGGCATGAGCTCCTGCTGGCCATCACCACTGTAGTTCTAGATCCTGCCAGATGGCCCTGGATTCTAGGCTGGAGTTACATACATCACCTCCTCCCAGTTTCCTTCTCACGCTGAAGGTGGTAACCACTTCCTGTAATTGTTCATCTTTATATTGCCTCTGCACCCCCTGTTGGGATTCCCCACTATTCCATCACCCATGTAACGATTTCCTGGTATGAAATTCCCTCTGTAGTAATATGGTAGTTTTTGTTTTTCTGATTAGACTTTGATACAAAATGTAACTCAGATCTGTACTCATTTTCTCATGTAATTAAAGAAGTGAGACACATATGCCTGAAGAGGAGTGAAACACCTTAAAAATCTGCTCTGTCTCCTCATCTCTGCCACTCTTAAAATCCTCTATAGAAATGACTGGCTGTCCATCGAGCTCTTTGAAACTTCTCCTCTGTACTTCTTCCTTGTACTTCTCCCCCCTTTTCTCTTTCCCTGCCTATGGTTCATCTTCCCTTGTCTTGTCTAAGTCTTCAAGTCTTTCCCACATTTTTCATTGACCTCCAGAAGCCTGTGTTCTGCTGGGGAGGCAATGAGGAGGGGTCCATGAATATTCATACAGTAGGAAATAATGTTCCCTGTTTTATAAAAACAAACAAATAAATAAAAACCTATTTCTTGAATTTTTCCACTCCCTTTTCCTCCCTCCACAACTTGAGAAGAAAATTCAAAAAAAATAAAGAATATTTTCCATGGGTAATCAACCAGTTCCTCCTATTGCTTGTTTTTCTCCTTTATAAAAATAATCACAGGGCTTTAAGTAGTGATTTCTTGAGAGCTTTAAGAACCTCAATCAGTTTCACAGCTGGAGGAAGAGAGATCAGTTGCAATGAAGAGTAAAATCTTTCTTTTATAAAAAGTAACTTCCCTTTTGAAAACACTGGTTAAGTAAAATATAATGTGCACTGCTCTTAGAAACCCAGGCAGAAAGTTTGATAAAAGAGCAACAGGTACTGGTTGGCTGGCATTGACAAGACATGGAGAACGGAGAAATCTGAAGCTCTATGTATTAGCTAACAGTTTATCTTTTCTCAACCGCTTTGGCTTCCATTGTCTCCTAAGCCGTTAGTGTCAAGCTAGACTGTGGTGAACATAAGGATGTACTTACCACCCCCAGCAGGCAGTAATGGCCAACACCCACAGGCTGGTGACTGAAATCCTAGACACCTCTGGCTGGGAAAAAGGAGGGAGAGAAGAAGCAGGATATTCCCCGACTTTGCATCTTGAGTAAGATTCCTTCTTGATAGCTCAAAATAAAAATTAGGTTCCTAATTATTCCAAGAAAAATGTGTGAAATTTATGAAGAAAGGGAGATGTGCTACTACAACAAGATTCCCAATGAGTTTTTTTCCTGATGCTGCTAAAAAATGGATTTCTGTTCCTCTTATCTCTGCCATACATCCTGCTTTTTCCAAAACTGTCGTGCTCCCACTCTATATGCTTCTATGAGTTATGTGGCTCCACATTCCTTGCCTAAGGATGGCTAGTGAGAAGATTTCATCCCACTAGACACGGTGATTGCCCCAGGGGCGGGCACTTGACCCAAACAAGACTAATTCATTTTTTTTTAAAGATGACCAGTAAGGGGATCTTAACCCTTGACCTGGTGTTGTCAGCACCACGCTCTCCCAAGTGAGCTAACTGGCCATCCCTATATAGGGATCTGAACCCATGGCCTTGGTGTTATCAGCACCACACTCTCCTAAGTGAGCCACGGGCTGGCCTTCCAATTTGCTTTTTTTGCATGGGGCAGGAGGGAGTCGTTAGGGAAGAGGAGGTCAAGCTTTTTTCTCTTTGAGAATGATGGATGCCTGGTGCCATCTCTACTACCTTGTGCCAAAAAGCTGCACAAGAATTACGTCAGAACAAATAAAATCAGAATCAGTAACTAGGGAAGGTTGGGGAGGTTTGGAGACACGTAATAACAATGTTTGAATCCTTGAATCTAATCTGCCTAAGATACCTGGACATCTCAGTTATTCTTGCAGATCTGTTTTCCTGGAAAACAAATGCTGAGGACGGATTTTAGTGTGCAGGAATTTTATTAGGGAATGTTCTTGGAGGTAAATACCTGTGGAAGGGAAGGAAAGATAAGCAGGCATGGGCCGAAGGAGAAGTTGAACTATCATGTGGTCACAATCAGGCCTCAGCAGTCCTGTGAGGATATTGGAAGCTAGGATGACCCTGAGTGACCTTGTGCGACTGTTCTTTTCACTGAGACAATCCCAGTAGGTGCTGACAGCAAGGAGTAAGTCCTTCATTCTTTTTTTTTTTTTGTCCTTTTTGTGACCGGCCACACTGCACTCAGCCAGTGAGCGCATCGCACGGGCCATACCTATATAGGATCTGAACCCGCGGCGGGAGCGCTGCTGTGCTCCCAGCGCCGCACTCTCCCGAATGCGCCACGGGCTCGGCCCAAGTCCTTCATTCTTGAAGTTAGACATGGTCACAATATCACAGTATTTAATCCAATTACATACGATGCAAAATTACCACCACTATCACTTTCTGCTTAAAGTAAATGGTTTGAGTTGGATTTCTACTGCTTACACCAAGAAGAGCTCTTATTATAGCATGGTATAATGAAACACACTTTTATTCCATAACCAGAGTCTCAAAGGTTAACGAAAGTTCAATAAGGCTGCTGGAATGGGATCCAGATGTTCTATCTCCTATTTGAGGGAGAAAATAAAGTAAAAGAAGGGACATTTAGGGAGGAAGGGTAATTTACCGACCTAGGCATTTAAAGGCTTTAAGAACACAGTTTTAACTGGCATTTTACTTAACAGAAAGTGAAAATGTCTGGTGATGAAGATTTACATTTTTAGGGCCGGCCTCGTGGCGCACTTGGGAGAGTGCAGCGCTTGGGTGTGCAGCGACGCTCCTGCCGTGGGTTCGGATCCTATATAGGGATGGCTGGTGCACTCACTGGCTGAGCACAGTGCGGGCTGCGGGCGACACCAAGCCAAGGGTTGCGATCCCCTTACCGGTCACACACACACACAAAAAAAAGATTTACATTTTTATCTCTTTATGTTAAATGCGATTTATATACATTAATTCATCAAAACAAGGGGAAAATGAGGAAATCTCTCTAATCATTGATTTGAACTTAAACCTTTTCAGTATGTTTACCATGGTAAATTTGGTTATTTTTTTCGTTAAAAAATCTATTTTTACAGACATAACTTGGTCTTATTAACAACAGCTAACATTGACAAAGCGTTTTATACATGCTACATCCCTTATGTGCTTTGTCTCATTTATTTTTCATAACCACCCATTAAGGTATATAAAATGATCACATCCATTTGA